GTGCCTGGACTTTCATGATGAGAACACCGATGTGCTTAATAAATCAGTTAAAGTAGCAGAATAAAGATGTGTAAATTTGAACCTTAATTCTGGTTTAATTTGACCAGTTTCTTTCCAGACAAACAGAATTAAATGCTAAATAACATCATAATTGAAACCTAAAAGCACAAGACACAACTTTTGATGAGTTTTGACATTATTCAGCAACATTTTTGGTCTTGTGGCAAAATCTTCTGACAATGGGGGGGAAAAGAATTTGACCAGTCCTTTAAAACCTTTCTGAGAAGTGTGTAATCAAACTGTCAAGAAAGGTACAAATTGTTCTCAGCTCTGAGGTGAAGCCTGCAGTACACTACAGATGAGAGAGATGACAAGACACGAGTGAACGAAACAAGAGAACAGAAAAATAACACAACACTTTGGACCAAAGGCAGTTTGTAACTTTCCTCTGCATCACTGCCACAGCCTGTCGTGCATTTATCGAGTGTACCTGTTATGTAGTCCCACAGCTGTTACACCCTTCGCCATTGTATTCATTTATATTTCTTTTAATTTCACAGACTTTAATTGAAGTATTTTAAAGAGGGTTTTTTTAATACAGCCGCTAAGCCTGTGTTAATTAGTATGACGTTAATTTTATTGTTACAAATTAGATTTGCTAATTGTAGTGACCAAGTGACAACCTCCGGAGGATAAAAGATCAAATTCAATTCAGTTTTATTTATAGCTCCAAATCACAACAGCAGTCACCTCAATGTGCTTTATATTTTAAGGTAAAGACCTGACAATAATACAGAGAAAACCCCAAAAATCAATGTTGCCAAGTTCTTTGAACAAGTGGGCGACAGTGGGAAAGAACAAACTCTGGCAGAACCAGGGAGGGACAGCCGTCTGCCATGACTGGCCTAATTTGCAAGTATGCACGCATGTATGGTTCACCCCGTCAGTGTGTACATCCTGTTTTGCTGCCATTAGCTAAAAACATGATTATCTGGTCAATTTCCTGGATTCTGCCATATAATGCTCACACACACAGAGCTGAGAAAAGAAGTCACATCATAACTCCAGCCTGAGATGTTACTTTGAATTAGCACTGCTGGTGTAACACTTGTGTATTACTCTGAAATGAATCTGCAGAGTCAGAAAGCGCATTCTAGGATTATAAATGAAACACAGTTACTGTACACCAAACCCATCGTAGCGTGTTCACAATTACCTACACAGACTCAACTCACAGCAACAGCATATCTAAAAATGGACTTATATGCAACTTTAATAACCTTCAGATGATATGAGTATGACAGCTTCTGAACTTCAATATGTGCACATGATATTGGCACCGGGTTCGTTTCCTATCTCATCGCAGAACGTGACATTCCTCCTAACCAGTCAGTCGCAGGGGAATTGCATTTGTGTAGAAATCATGACGTGACTCCTCAAAATAACTACTTATGCACTGTGTACATGTACGGTGATTTCTGTTGCTGCGCACGTGCGAGTCTAGAAATGAGTTCATAAGCAAAATGCAGCTTCATTAAATCCAAATTACCTCAGCTTCACAAAACAGGCATCCCTGTACTTATGGTCCCAACCCGATTTATTCCTCTGAATAAACAATCCTCAACTTAAACAGGAATCCATCCAGTCACATTTCAGACTTCTTTTTTTGTCTCCTTTGGCTATGCTATGTAATGATGAACAGTATGTATACACGAGCAGAGAAATAAGTCATATACCGCATAAGTATCCATCTCATTTCTCTTCTGCTTCTCCATGCTGCCATCTTATAAATGGCCTGGCCTCCAATAAGGACTGTTTGCTCTACCTAACAGTAATAAAGATTCCCACACAGAGACACAAAGCAATCAATGCTGTTTTTTATGCCACTTAGGTTAGAAGTGAAGGTCTGTTTTCTGCTTTAAGCACTCTCATTACCAGACCAGTTTACCCTGTAATGACTTAACCTCAGACCGTAATTACTAATAACACTCTTTTCTCTCTCGCCGAAAAGTAATTTGCTGTGTAAGTCAATCAGTTAAAAGTTCCATTCTCAATGTATGTAAATAGAAAGTAGAAAGAAATTAACATCACCAGAACATGAGGTAATTTCTAGCCTAGAAATATAATGTATATATATTTTAAATCGTTAGCACATGTAACAAGATAGCAGGTACCTATCCGTAAAAGTTTAAATTGAAAACTAAAATTGCATGTTTAGAAGTTTGTTTGTTTTTTTGTAAAACCAATCCCTTAATGTCTTCATATGGCTCAGATGTACGGTGGCCCTGAGAGGCAAAACGGACTGCAACTTAAGAAAACACCAGCAATAAGAAAAACGCTGCAAAGGCACACAAAACACAACAGAAATAGGAAAATAGAAAAAAGAAATAGGAAACATGAAAACAAAAATAGGAAAAAGCTGATTTCCAAAAGCACAAGAGAAGTGTTTCTGGGGAGGCAATAACCCGACGGACCAGTTGCAGGAACCAAAATATGCTAAGAACTGCGCTGGGAGACAGAAGTGGAGGATCTATTGGTTTTGTGAGGAAAGAAAAGATGAGAGGTAAGTGTGTTAGTCTAACTATTAGCCTAAAAATTCATCATCAGTATTATATGAATCATGATAAAACACGCCCACCATGTTTTGGGTTCCTGCAACTGGTCCGTCGGGTTATTGTCTCCCCAGAAACACTTCCCTTGTGTTTTTTCCTATTTCCGTTGTGTTTTGTGTGTTTTTCTTACTGCTGGTGTTTTCTTAAGTTGTAGTCCGTTTGACTCTCAGGGCCACCGTACAGATGCAACTTTGCATGTTCACTTCTTTTAATATTCATGCATATATAAGAGATGCATACTAGCCCCCACGTCTGCTTCTGTGTCTCTACTCTAAACAAGTTGCAATATTGGACTAATTCAGTCATGCCTCAGCCATCCGTGTTTGAGCTGTTAACTGGTTTTGGAAAATAGGAAGAAGAAGAAAAGTGAACTTTACAGTGGCAACATAGGCAACATGTTGTTCTGGTTTGTTCAGTCGGGCTAGTCACCTACTGTGTTGCCTGCTTATTTCACCGATATGTCTTCGAACACAGAAACAACACATCGTAGGGACATGCTAATAAGGTTAAAACTTGAAAGCATGCACTGTTAACACATTCTAGACCAGGGGTCCGCAACTCCAGGCCTCAAGGGCCGGTGTCCTGCAGGACTACATGTGTCCTTAGTCAATTACAGCTGATTCAATTTGCTAAATGGCCTCCTCGACATGTCTTGAAGTTCTCCAGAGGTCTGGTTATGAACTAACCATTTAATTCAGGTGTGCTGACCCAGGGTGATATCTAAAACCTGCAGGACAACAGCACTTGAGGCCTGGAGTTGCTTACCCCTGTTCTAGACCGTCTGTTTCCTGTACTTTTTAAAGTAAAATATATAGAAACATTATCTGCAGATACTTAAAGGCTTGGTAACCACAGGATTGTTATCTTTAATGTCAGCTCTAACAGACTGAAAACTGTGCGAACTGATTAGAAGAACCCAAATTGTGCTTTCAAACAAGTCTCATGTATACCTAACGGGCTCAAGTACAGTTGTCTTTTGAAAAGCATTAAGGACGACTTCTTTTCAGTTGCAAACTTGCCAAGTGCAGCTTAGAGGACAAGATTTTATTTTCATTCAAACCGCTGTTCAGTGTATTTGCTCTAGCCAACAATGGGTACCCTGCCTGTGTCCTGCAGTAAGTGGGCAGACCTTTTCCCCAAATAACACCCTTCCCTTAACACTCTGGGGAGAGCAAAAGCAGCTGGCTGCAAACTTTCATTAGTGAGAGCTGCAGAAAAAAGACGGCAAATATTTATCTTTGCACAGATTGCTGTGCAAGAACTGCATACAAAGCAATACTCTCCTTTCACGGAGTCCCACTGTGTGAGAACTGCGTAGGATGTGACTGGGTAGTCGGCGCTAGAGTCAGAACGCCGTTGCTGAATATGTGAGAGTTGGTTTCTATGTGTGATTCCTCATATGTATGTGCGGCTGTATTTTGGTGGGAGCTTCTATCAGTGACAGTGTGTGTATTCACTTCCAAAAACGTGTGTGTGATAAATGCCCTACCTACGGCTTTGCAGGTCTTAGAGGCAGGGTCCATCTCATAACCTTCATAGCACTCGCACTTGTAATCCCCTTTGTAGTTGATGCAGATCTGACTGCAGGCATCTGGGTTCTCACATTCGTCTATGTCTGCAGAGAGAAACATGGCACAAAGACATAAAGATCAAACAACATAACTATAGACACACACAGTCCTATTTGTCTGGAGACTGAGACATAAAAGAGCTAATATTTTCTGTTTATAGCATGTTAACAACCTTTCTCAGCAGGATCCTCACTTCAAAAAAAAGAGATTCTTATTCTTTTAGCTTAATTTCTAGGATTTACGTCTTTGAGCTTCAACAGAAAGGAGGAGATCTTTTGTTGAGAAATTTGAATGTTGTAACACTAATATTTTTGAGAAACAGACTAAAACTGCTTTAACTGGATAATAGAAATGATGTTAAACACATTTGTATATGGAAACAGCTTAAACCAAATAAATTAGCAAAAATGGAAAATCTGACATTTCTGAAAGCATTCAGGGTCATATTTAAAGCTACAGGTCAAGGTCCTCCAACGTCAGCGTAACCAGAATCTGGGGACAAAGGGGATGAACCTCCCAATACTGGAGGCAAGATCACTGAAGTAGTTAAACAACTCCATGGTGGAAGGTCCCCAGGGTGGATGAGACTGGACTCGAGTTTGTAAGCCTCTGGATGTTCTGAACTGTCTCAACTGACATACCTCTGCAAAATTGGATAGAACTTGGGGAGAGTGCCTCTAGACTGCCCTCTAGGATGGTGGTTCCCCTCTTCAAGAAAGGGCACCAGAGGGTATGTTACAACTTCAGGGGGATCCGATTTTCTCAGCCTACCTATGATGGTCTGTGCTGGGATACTGGAGAGGAGAGTCCATCCAGTAGTCGGCCCCTAACTTAAGGAGAAACAATGCAGCTTTTGTCCTGGTTGTGGAACACGGGACAAGCTCTGCATCCCATTAAGCATATTTAAGGGGACTTGGGATTTTGCTCAACTATTGTCTTATTAGGCCTGTTGCCTTGACTTCTCATCTGATGAAGAACATGGAAAGGCTCATCCTGCACCACCTTCGTCCACTGGTGGGCTCAGTGTTGGACCCCTGCAGTTCGCCTACCGTTCTGGAATTGGGGTGGATGACTCTGTCATCTACCTGGTACACCGATCCCTCTCTCACTTAGAGCAGGTGGGGAGCACTGTGAGGATCATGTTTTTTGACTTCTCCAGTGCTTTCAACACCATCCAACCCGCACTACTGAGAGGGAAGCTGGAGGGAGCCGGAGTAGGCAAACAGCTGACTGCATGGACCATCGACTACCTTACCAACAGACCACAGTATGTGAGGCTCCATCACTGTGTGCCCAAGGTGGTAATCTGCAGCACGGGGGCACCACAGGGCACGATTCTCTCACCTTTCCTGTTCAGCCTTTACACTTCAGACTTCTGTTATAATTCGGACGATTGCCAGATACAGAAGTTCTCAGATGATACAGCCATCATTGGATGCGTATCAGACGGGAATGATCAGGAATACAGGGGGGTCATCAGTGACTTTGTTGGCTGGTATGAGACCAACGTACTCCAAATCAACGCCGGCAAGACAAAGGAGATGATCATAGACTTCAGGAGGAAGTCACCGCCTACAACACCGGTGAACATCCAAGGGAAAGACATTGAGATAGTGGACTCTTATAAGTACCTGGGTGTTCACCTCAACAATAAACTGGACTGGACTACAAATACAGACGTACTGTATAAGAAGGGCCAGAGTCGACTCCACCTGCTAAGGAGACTGAGGTCCTTCGGAGTCTGCAGGACTCTGTTAAGGACATTCTATGACACTGTGGTAGCATCTGCCCTTTTCTATGCAGTGGCCTGCTGGGTGAGTGGATGCACGGACAGGGACAGGAGCAGGATTGACAAACTGGTGCGGAGGTCTCCATGCTGGGATGTCCCCTGGAGTCTGTGGAGGTGGTTGGTGAGGGGAGGATGTTAGTAAAGCTGACATCCATCATGAACAACCCACATCACCCACTGCATGAGTATGTGAGTGGGCTGAGCAGCTCCTTTAGTCAGAGACTGAAACACCCTCGCTGCAGGAAGGAGCGCTTTCGCAGATCATTCATCCAAAAACAGTTAGACTCTATAACTCCTCAATCACGATGTCATAAGTCACTGGACACTGTGAACATCCACGGTCACCACTTCATGCATAATGGACCTTCCATGTGTAGGTCTGTATATGTATACATATTTAGTGTGTACATGTGTGTGTGTACATGTCTATAAATAGGAATAGTAGTGGTACAATAGCTATATCAAGCTATAGAGTTTATGTCTTCCATATTTCCAACTATATCCATAATCACATACTGTGTATGCTACCATTGTATATAGTGTATTATCTTACTTTTTTTCATTGATTGTACTTATTTGTATTTTTGTATTTCCTTCTGATATCTGTACCTGAGCTGAGGGGATGCAAAAATTTCCCCGTTGTGGGATCAATAAAGTCTTATCTTATCTTATCTTATTAACTTAGAGAGGGCATTCAATGGCATTGCTTGCTGTGTCCGCAGGGGCTGCTTCTGGAGTATGTGGTATTAGGCCCTTTGTTAAGGGCTATCCGGTCCCTGTAATGAGAGCTTGAGTCACATAGCTAGCAGTAAGTTGAACTGATTCTCGGTTTCTAGAGCTGAACTTTGTTTCCGCATTATTTCACAAGCCATTTACAAGCAAAATCATCAGAAACCAAATGCTAACAATTCCAAAACTCCCTTTTTCAGCAATCCCGGACAAGCCCCCTCTTGCTCCCCTAAAAAGGTCCAGTGGTTGAGGGAAAGTAACAAAAGGTGTCCGGGTTGAAAAAAGCAGGCAGAGAGGCAAAATGATTACATTAACAGGTTTTATTAATGTTTCTATTAATAACTAAACTAAAAGAGACAGACCAGCCACTATTACCTTTTGAAGAAAAAAAACAGCAAAACTCAGGTGATCATCACTAAACTGAAAATAAGTCAAAGGGGGTTAGTACCAAAACACACTCCTCTCCAGAGTAGGAGCAATAGACAACCATACTCACAGCTCACTAGCTACAACCCAACAAAGCTCTCTCTCGCCCTAGAGCTCAATTTTCTCTGGATTTAAGCATTCTTAATTGCTGATGCGAGTCAGACGTACAAAAATGGTGGCACCAAAGGCAGGAGATATGGCAGGACACATCCAAACAAGAACGATTTCAGGAGGAGGTCCTGCTAGGACTGTAACAACAGGTGGACGGACCCATTAGGTAATCAGTGAAAATGTAATTAGTACTGAATAGGGAGTAGCAGTTTTTGTGAACTGATGTTTTGTTGTTTTGTGCTTCTGTACATCATTTATCTGTTTTTCATGGTGGAACACTTTCTGATCATCAGCATCCCAACATTTTACAAATGCCTCATCTTACATTCTGGACCTGACAACCTCGCTAAGGAGACTGGTTGTTAAAATAACTTATTCATGCTCCCAAATCCAGAATGTCTGCATGTAATTATTGCAACATGCATAAAAGACAAACTTTAGATGAGGCAGTTTACTCCAGAGTGCTAACCCCATTTTTTGCATTTAAGTTAGTTATCATACTAGATTTTTGTCTCAACCGAGTGAAGCAAATGCAACTAATCTTAAACAGCAATGTTTAATGAATCATGTTAATGTTTTCCTTAGACCTGGAAATGGCCATAGTTAAAAGTACCCTTGAACAAAACAACCACAGAATAGCACAGATAAAGTTCAGCTGATTAATGTCACTGCCCTTTGGTCGTGCTTCTCTGGACCAAGACATGAGAAGCTCTGCTGCACATTTTTTTCTCTTTACCTCCACACGTCTTTTTATCCAGGAGTTTGTAGCCAGAGGGGCAGTCACACTCATAACCAATTCTCTGGTCCTTGCAGATGTGGGAGCAGCCACCGTTGTTGTCTGCACACTCATTCAGGCCTGCAGAGACAGTGGCAGCAGAGGAAAGGGCAGGGATGGCAGAGAGGAAACAGTGAAAAATAAAACAAAGAGTTGAGTATTGTTCCAATAAATTCCAGCAGGTTTTTAGACAGAATAACTTTGGCAACACAAGAACAAGACGGACAGGAAGACAATCCCACAGGTTGGTCTGTATGGACAGTTTTAATCATCCTGCCCGTAAAGATATTTTTGTCCTGTCTGTATACATCAACAATTCAAGTTTGTGTGTGATTCTTGTGTGCTCTACTAGTTTTAGCTGGTAGTTCCTGGAACTGATCCATTTTCCAATAGGAACCTTTGCTTATCCCAGGTGCTACTACACTATATTGCCTATTGTAACACAAGCACGTGCTCTCCTTCATCCTCTCATCCAATTCTCTCCATTTCCTCTGTTTTTTTCCTTTTAACAGAACATATTGGACTGAGTCATCCTTCCTTTCCCTTTTGTATCAGTTTCTGTGCCTCCATTTATCCCTTTTGTCTTTCAACTACCCTCCAGGGAGTGAAGTGGGATCTCTGCAGAAAGCTAAAGCTGGTACTTCATTACCGGTTTACATTAAAGATTTAAGCTTCAAGGCTACAGGTACTGCTGTGAGACTAAGACACTACTAGAGATAGAAAAAGAAAGACAGCAAGACATTAAGGGAGACTCACAGGAAGAGGAAAAGAGTAGTATGGACTTTCACAGATTTGCATTTAATCAAAATTAGACCGGAACAGCAACTGAGTATCAGCCTTATTTTAAACTAAAATAAGGTGAAAACATGAAAACCTGCTTAAAGCAGTTTAAGCAGGTTTTAGCAGGAGCGCTAGAAAACAAAAAACAAAGTATGTGGACACTCATATCCATATTTCTATTCCCTTGTAATGTTGTATAGTTTGTACTGAGGTTTAGTTAATAGTTTAGGAAAATCACATAAACTATAATGACTATAGCATGGGTAAAACATGCAGGTGGCTGTCAGGAGGTCTTTTTCAGATACCAATAAACTCTTTCTAACATCTTAATTCTAGCGCCAGACAGACACTGAACTGTATGAGATGATGTCTGCAACAATGTTGGAGTAAAATTCTTATATTTCTGTGTCTATACACATCGATTTATGGATCAATTTGTGGACGAATGTACATAGACACACATATACACAGAATGAGTGAGTAAGATTCAGAGTTTTACTAAATACCAAAAATAATCCGGCAATGTCATTCACAAATAAGCTAAAGCTATATTACTGCTAATAAGTGATATTACTGTGTAGACTCGGCTTAACTCAGCGCCATCTTCGTGGCTGTGATGTGTGCTAACTTCCAGTTCACAGATCATCATATTTAATTTTTATCATGGGAATCATGGCAGATTCTTCTCTCACCCCAACCAGCAGATGGCCGCCCCTCCCTGAGCCAGGTTCTGCCGGAGGTTTCTTCCAGTTTTCCTTCCCACTGTCGCCAAAGTGCTTGCTCATAAGGGGTCATGTGATTGTTGGGTTTTTATCTGTATGTATTATTGTAGGGTCTACCTTACAATATAAAGTGCCTTGAATCGACTGTTGCTGTGATTTTGCGCCGTAAAAATAAAATCGAATTGAATATATCCATCAGCTGTGAGGTTAGAGGAGGATGCAAAGGCAGTGCGCACACATATAATTTTATACTGACACGATGCATGCCAGGCCACTCCACTTCAGAGAGGCTATGGGTCAAGTGCAGCGTCTCTTAATAACCTCAGACACTTTAACGTGTACATAAAGTAAAATCTCAGGCTTCAATTCCCTTTGTTTCATTAATTTGATACGATTCTATTAATAAGTATACTTTTCTCAGCCGCTTACATCTGATTGCAGATGAACTGCACTGCTTGTGGTGTCAAATGTGTGACCAAAGCTGAGGAAGCACTAATTATCTGTGCTGTTTGGATAATCTCTGTGGCTCTTTATGGGTAACGTAGTCGTGTCACGCTCTCTCGGCTAAGATCGCACCGGAGGGCAGAGTCGTTTAGGTCTTTCATCATAACAAGGTAGTTGAGAAATATCCTGATTTACTCAGCCTTGATCAAATGAATCTCCTTTACATAGAGAAGAGTGACCACCCACATTTGAACAAGCTAATGATCCCTGGTAGAGTGTGTGTGTCAGTGTTCTCACATTAACGTGTGTGTGTGTGTGTAAAGAAACACGAAGAATCTTACCACACTCCTTCACAGGTTCATCTGACCAGTCCTTGCAGTCTTTCACGTTATCGCACACCTTGCTGCTGTCGATACACTCCCCGTTCTTACAGCGGAACTTCTTGGGCCCGTCGCATTTTGTAACTGTAGTGAAGACATCAGATGACTTAAAAGGTTAGACTCTTAGCAAGTGTTTTAATCACATCGTGCACCAAATTAGTGTTTGGCAACACAATAATTCAACCCTACTGTGATGAAAGCCTCTAGCGTGTCAGATTTTGTAGAGTACACGATTCTAATGCAGATACAGTAAATGTCAGCAAAGCAATGCTGTCGATGTTTCTGTGGAGATAATTAGCCCAAAGGTTGACTGTTTTGACTCTCAGTGAGAAGCATTAGGCAAAGCTTGATCAATAAATTGCTTAGTTCTATAAATAAGACAGGCTACAGGGAGTTAAGTGCGAGGTTAACAAATGTTTGTCGCTATTCTAATTAGGGAAGCTTACTGAGAAAGACATATATGTATGGTAACTAATAGTAAACACAAGCTCAAAAAAAGAGAAAGGCTTCATGGAAAATATATGCATTATATGGTTTGAACTACAGATGAGCCAGAGGCAGCTGAGCTCCCATCAAAGAGGCCCTTTAACTCTCTTGAAAGTAGAAGCTAAATAAAATGTAGAAGAGTAGCAGATGTGACATCCAGTGCCTATCAAATGCACGAAGCAACTCAGTTGCCACATATATGTTCTGTGCAAGTTATACGCAGCTGAGTTGCAACAGTAAATAATAATATCGCTGTAGCTTCTTTGCAATTCTTTGAATCATCACCTCCGTCTTCGACCACTCAGGAGATTTAAGTGGAGGGAACACAGGGGAGATTTAAGGCAGTGGAGATTCACAGCCTCTTATCCTCCCATGCCTCTAAGCCTATCTTTTGGTGGACATTTTTCTGATTAAAGTTTCTCATGGGACCGAACTCACCAGAGAGGCTACTCTTCGTTATAGCTCCTGTGAAGCTAGTTCAAAGTATTAAAGTTGTAATTGGCCACTTTTTTTTTGAGTAAATGAAGTTTAAGAAAGGAGGCAGAAGCGAGAAGCAGAAGGCCTGAAAACATAAACTGAAACTTTAAATAAAATCTGGAATTTTGACTCTGCATTTAGAAGAAAAGCCAACGTTATTGGGAGGAAAACAAAATAGAACAACATGTTCTTCTAATAATAATCGGGATGTTTGCTCGTTTCATGGCCGTCCTCCTTTTCCGTACTCGCGAGACGCTTACCGTTGACACAACCTGCTTCATCACTGTAGTCCGGACAGTCGTGAACTTTATTACACTGCTTGGTGCCGTGAATACAGGAGCCATCGCCACACTGGAACTCATCAGGTCTGCACGTAAGCAGTGCTGAAGAACACAAAACACACAGAGTTAAGAATTAGCTGAGTATTCCCATTAGTCTAATCCATGAAAAGACAATGATAAAGTTCCACAATGAAAATCCAGAGCATTTTAAATTGTTCACAAAGTCAAATTCAGCCCTTTTCCTCTCACATTGCATTCCAGTATTCAGCTCTAATCTATCATACGCACCTCTTGATAGGGCATAAATCCTCATAAACTGCTATACTGAAAAGAAAAGCATTCATGTATTCATCCAGCATCTGAAGCAAACCCACATCTAGTGACCTATTGAGAAGGTGTGTGCGTGTAAATGTGCATATAGACATTTGTGCTTGCTCTAACGCGGAGGGACGGTTTATTTAACTCATTTGTCTTTTTAACTGGCTATTTAATTATTCATGTGTTGTGTTTTGGACTGGCTCCACCAACGGAGCAGAGGCAGACATGATCAATGACTGTGGAGCCGATAAAAAACACACGGCAGACAATCTCCGTATCAGGAAATATGGTATCAACACAGCCACACACAACGGTTTGGGCACATTTGGGTTTTCAGGCTCATACAGGCATTATTAAATGAGCAAAATTAAATGCAGGCTTGCAGCAGGACATGTGAATGCTAGGAATGCTAAGGGGAAGCTGAGACATACTTTGAAACACTCAGACAAAAAATAAATGAAATAAAGACAAACAGATGTTCATGCTAAAGCCTGGACCATTGCAAAATGTGCCGATTCCTTCAGCCAAATTATTGGGATCTTAGCTCAGCTAATAATGATAAATCCCCGGGATGAATAGTTATAATAATGGATTGCCATCTGCGGAAACGTTGACAGAACGGAAAGAAGGAAAGTTGCGATACGATGTGACCATTTCTCATTTCCATTAACCTTCTGTCACTCTGCTCACAGTCGCTTGTCTCAGTGTGTCCGTGAAGAAGCTCGAGGTTATTGAGACAGATGTTTCGAATAAGATGGGAAATGATACGTGTGTGGGAATGAGCAGAGCCTGATGGAAACGAGGCGAACGAGGAAAGAACAAACTGGAGGTATAGTATGCAGTTATTGTCACAATCCTCATTTACACTCAAACGTTGCTAAGCTGTCCTCTATGTTCTCATTTAAATTGCCATCCTTCCATTCTCTTCCGCTTAACCTTATCACGGTCGCAGTGGGGGCTTCAGCCTATCCCAGCTATCACGGGGTGAGATGCAGGGTACACCCTGGACAGATTCCCCTTTTTTGGTTAATAGAGAGATTTTTGGTCTATTTTTTAAATGTGTTTTAGGCAGTTAGCAAACAGTTTGAAATGTTTTGGAAAAGATATCAGTTGGTAGCAAGGACATTTTCCTTTCTTAAAATAATAAATACGTTAATTATTTTAGGAAAATTGTCTGTTTTAATAAAATATACTCTAACCTGTCGGCTGTTCTGTTTACATGTTTAGTGAATTTTATTTTCAGCCTCCAATTCTCCAAGCTGGCAGTTAATAACTCAGTGAATAATGCATTGAACTTCCAAACAAAGCCGGTGTTAGCATTAGCTAATCAAGTCAAAGCTCTCATTAAAACATGCTCAGGTCCAGTCAAAGAGACTAAAGTGGGTCTGATTGAAACACCAATATCAAGGTCATAGTTCTCAAACCAATACATGACATATCATCGGCCATGTTTGACTTTTATTTACATTTATGGCTGAGACAAGTCATGATTATACTCCGCTGTGGAGACATGAAGGGTTAGTAGTCATTTCCTGTTATATATATTTCCTTTAGGTCTTTTGTGGTGCATGCATAGTTGGTGCACACTCGTGTCAATTCTCCACAGACAACTCTGCACAATAACACGCACAAGCAGGCACACGCGCATCCTCAAAGATCAATGCTCAAAGTCTGATAATGAAATTTGTGTCATTCAGACCTGAGTGGACTTACTTGCAGAAAGCAGAATCGAGGCTTTAGAGTGACATTTCGACCGTGTCACAGATTTAGACATTGTTTTTAAAACTTGCTGTCAAAATATAACCACATAAAAACAACCAATCGTGTAGTGCTTACCTACATAATTATTCCGATCTCGTAAACGACGACTCCACAGACCCATGTAATTCTGTCTGGAGCGCAGCAGCCATTAATTTAAGGATAAGGAAGGTGTGTACTGTGATAAAGGGCAAGCCGTGATCTAAACACTTAAACAACATGTACTCTGTGATTTCTGCTTTATTTTTTGTACTAACACCTTATTATTGTGGGTGCATGTGTGTGTTAGAGCTTGCACCTGGCTACGTGTGCGGCTGCGCACTGTGCTTGTATCATGTCTTATGTGTGAAGTTGCTGTCATCTCTCTAAGTGGTGTGTGGGCGTGTGAAGAGGAGACCACATGGGGGGTCACGCTTGATGAAGGACCTTCACCTTACACAGGCTCAGATGGGTTTATCTCTTCTTGCACAGATCACATGGTTGCATGGCAACACATTTGTGGATCGTCACGATAAAATTAGAATTGATCTTCCTTTAGTCATTTAGTGACACATTTGTCACACAGTCTTTGTTCAGAGCAGAGCCGGTCTTCAAAGCATCGTCCTCCAGTGCATTTAAGCTGCTGCTCTACAAAACAACTGATTACTTTTTGGTATCCATCCGTAACTTTCAATAAAGGCGATAGCTGGCATTAGCTTCACTACAACACCAGCCAATATTAGATTACATGAACAAGTAAAGATAAATGACACAAAATATCCAAAAGTACTAATACAAACCATTCATCCTAATTTCTAAAATTAATAAAACTGGATTCTTTAGGCTTAGTTACTTCACTACCACTCTCCTCAGACTGATCAGAGTTGAATTGTGCCCGTTGTTATGGAATAATCAAAGATAATTAAAAAAAGATGTTTTGATTAAGGAGCATGCCAGTGGTGTGACTCGTTCCTGTGTTTTCTAATTGCTTTGAACAACAATAAAGTGAACGGCACAGGGGGAGCACACGGTGGCAAAAAGAAAAAAGCTGACTTACGACAGTTTGCTTCATCTGATTTATCCTTGCAGTCTGCATCGCCGTCACACTTCCAGTTCAAATGGACACACTCGCCGCTCCCGCACTGGAACTCGCTCACCAGACAGCGGGGTTTCTGGGGCTCCGTCCTCCGGCTGCAGCGCTCCATGGACTCGTCTGACTTGTCCTTGCAGTCGGGGTCGCCGTCACAGCTCCACAGGGCGGGGATGCACTCCGAGTCGTTGCAGCGGAACTCATGCTGCCCACAGGTGGGAGCCGAACATTTCTCCTCATCGCTGGCGTCCCCGCAGTCGTCGTCTCCGTCACACACAAAGATCGGTGCCACACATTTCCCGTTACGACACTGGAAGTCTTTGGAGGGGCAGGCCTTGCCATCTGCAGGAGGAAAGAAATTAAATTATAATTGTATATGTATTTGATTTAATTCTCATTGATTATTATAACCTGTAATATTTAGCAGATTAATATCAGTCTAATAATTACAGAATATCTTTAGTAAATAGCTTTATTTCAAGTTATGAAACATCCATTCAGAGTGGGAGTAGATCAGGGGAAATACGAGTTAAAGGACAGCTATAGTTTAACTTATCCATGCATTTAATCAAACCCAATCAGAGGTGGGAATATGCACACCAATATGTCTTTTTACGCCTTCTCTACAGATGGTAGTAATGTTAATGTTAAAATTTAGAGTTAACAAGAAGAGAGTCGTTCCACAGCTTCCTTTTTAGCTCCGGAGCTTTTAGTGACTGGCAAGAATCAAAAGGAAAGATTGATCAAACTGTCGACAGTTGCGTGGCGCTGAAGAATACCAGCACAGCTTCCTTGAAAGTCTGACAGGACAAAATGCGGCAGGTGCAAGAACAAAGCGAAGGGATAAAGAACCAGGAAGGAAACATAAACTTGCCTTGTAGAAAAAGTATAAATGATGAAATATTAAAAAACGTAAACACCACCTCAAGAGACTCCAAATACTTTCAACATATAAAGATGCTGCTGACTATGTATGGGACAAGGTCGAGGGCAGCAGGAATCCGGCTGTAGGATGAGCACAGCTGCAGAAACGTCGCTCCTAGAGTGTGTGTGTGTGTGTGTTTATACATGTGTGTGAATGTTTGGACTGAAACACCTGTCAGGAATGAATATTCATGTCCGTGTCTGCATATTGATTTTTTCCAAACCGGTAACTAAAAACCTGCGACGAAAAGTGTGATGCCATTTCAGCTTTTAATGTGTTGTGTTTCAGTGTGCATGTGGTTGTTCTGCTGGTGTTGTTTTATATTACTGTGCTTATGTGTTTCCTTTCAGCAGTGGCATCATCAAATTCCAAACAGGTTGGACAAATCAATTTGAATCATATAATCTCCTCCAAAAAAAAAAAGGGGGAAAAAAAATCAAAACAAACCACTTCACTGATGCAACGCTCCTCTCTGGGCGACCGGCATAACTTCTTTATTTTCTCTGTCTTTTTGTTTTTACTAACCCACACAGTACGCCAAAGGGACTCATTATGATAATAGGCTATCGGATTCCCTGTAAGCTATTACTACTAGCATGCTAATCATCCCCACTCAGATCTAAGTAATTTAATTAACATGAGCACAAAAACAACATCAGCAGTATCCCAGCAGAAAGTACGGTTGTGCAAGATGCATAAAGTTACAAACGGACTGTTTTCAAAACTTTCTGCATCAACAGCGAGACACACTTTGCTAGATCCCTGAGGGCGATTATGTGTTTCTAGGTAGATTAAACACCTTTTATGCTCTAAAGAGTCCATCATTATAGCAGAAGGCTTGGTCAACCAGGTGTGTGGGATATAAACAGCAAGGCTGGGATAAGAAGCTTGTTAGTATGGTTCCCACTGGGAGACTGAATGACAAAAGAGACAGTTGGCTCATAATAGTTCTTCCTTCTACTACAAAAACAAGTAGGCAGCTTCCAATTCAAGGATTTTTTTTGTCTTAACGCTATAATGTTAAGACAATTTTTCCCTAGATGCTAAAGTGACATCAAAACAATAGAAGCTATTTTGTAAGGAACTAATGAGTCGCAATATACACCCGCACCTAAAGTGCACTGTGTATATGAGCTACCCCTTGTTTTTCTGTAAGTGCAAACATATCTGAAAATACAGTAAGGCAAACATTTAGTTTCTA